GGGGCGGTGGGGGCGGCGGGGCGGGGGGGGCGGCCCCCCCGGCCCCGGCGGGCAGGAGGAGAAACCTGTGCTTTTCTTGTTAGAAACAAGTCTGTTCTGGTGGTCTGCCGAGAAGAACGAGCAGCTCTTGGAGTTCTGGGAAACTTACATTTTGATCCTGGAGACTTTGGAAGGAAACCAGGTAGGAGCAGCGTGAAGTCCGGCAGTTGGGTGTGATGCCTTCCTGCCGGCACATGCAGGGCAGGTGTTTCTGATGGGTAAAATGCTTCCAGCCGTGGTGGTGGCGAATGTCTAAGCGCTGGCAGGGATATTTTTGCTTCTGATTTTAAATACTTAAATCACAGTACATCTAATTCGTTTAGAGTCAGTTCAGAGCTCTGTCTTTCCTAGTTGAAGCCATAGATTGAGCTAAGAAAGAAAATCCTGGATTTCATTTTATTGCAAGACTGTGGGTAACCTGTTTCTTAGTGAAACTCGGGCTGTTGCATTTAATAACCTCTTTCCAGTAGAAGGGTTTACACGTATAGCAAAGCACTTGTGGTCTTGGATGAAAATTATTTTGACTCAGCATCCAGTGTTTGGCTTAAGGGTTCCTCTTGACTGAAGGCTTCTGTAATTGTGTGACCTCGTGGTGTTGGCTGTTTGTTGTGACTGCCTCGTTGTAGTTGTTTTGATTTGTGTGTCACTGTCTTGTAACTGAGAGAAGTAGCATTTACCAAATGTGAATTTTGGACATTTGTGCTGTTTTACTATAAATTTGATTAATAGAATTTTTGTTTATTAGGAAGTATTGTTTGTGTGATACAGTAGCCTGGAAGTACCAGTGTTTCTCCAGTGCTGAACTGTAACTGCACCTCACATGCCAGATGCACAGGAGTTACAGGTTTCTTTAGATGCAGTTATAGTGTCAATTATTATTTTGATGCTATTGATAGTAAATCCTAGCCCACGAGTAAGAGCCTGTTCTTGGGTTTGAGATATAAACTGACTACTTACATAACATCTTTTTTTACATTTCAGATCCATGTCATAAAGCCGGTATTACCAAAACTAAACAGTTTATATGAACATGCAATACTGGGGGACAAAGGTAAGATACAGCTTTTTCTGAAACATCTCCTAAATATTAGGCAGCTAAGTCACACTTTTTCTTCTTCTTTTTTTTTTTTTTCCTCCTGCTGTTTTAGTAGTAGCTTTTTTATGTTTGTTTCTCAAATTACCTGTTTTCTGGGTGACTATTCAGTTTCTGTTGGTCTGCTGTATGCAAGGTTTGCTCAGCAAAAATACACAGGCAGTGCCCTTCTGCTTAGAGAAGAAGAAATCCTAGTATGTGTTACCTTTAGGTTTTTTTTGTAAGCAAACCCAAGTATCTCTTTTCCATTACATTTTGCTTTTCTTCAGTTAATGTGAAAATAAAACAAAGCCAGAGATTTTTAGGATGGGTCATATGAGACAAATCACCTGCACAACTCTGTAAATGGGAGGAAAAAAATCTCAACTTGTTGGAGGCAGGGAGAGAAGAAATAAAATGAGTGCTGAGACAGCATGTTGAAGGGTGCAGTGTCATTTTCTGTAAAGTAAAACAGAGCACATCTAATTAGGTAGTGCAAGATGTTAGAGATTTGTAAAAGTGTTGCAGGTGAACACAGTGTCAGTATACAGATAGTTTCAGGCAAAAGGATTTGTTTTTTGCACTTGTTAGTAATTTTAATTTTTAACTACTAAAATTTAAAACGTAACTTTTGAAAGTCGTGTTAGTGTATTTTTTTTTCTGTATTGGAGTTTTAGCAGAGTATTTTTATAAATCTGACAGCTATAATCATGTTTTTGAAGTGTCCTGTGAAGTGATGATGTTGATATCCAGAATGTTGGTATGTTTTGTTAGTATATTACTGGGTCACTGTGATTTCTGTGTCAGTTTAGAAGAATTTGCTTTTTTAACAGGTTGTTGGTTGTTTCACCCATCATGGCTCATGTGCATTTATAAACGAATGTTTGAGAGTGAGAATAAAACATTGACAAAAGAAGGTGTTCTTCATTTTCTGGAACTTTATGAAACAAAGCACCTTCCAAATTCGCTTGGTTTTTCAGAGGTAAGGGTGTTACTATTGCTTTCCAGAACAAACAGAGGTTTTAATTTGTGGCATATCTTAAGACTGTTTGCCTCTACAGTGCTATAATTAGACATGTTCTGTCAAATTACCCTCTTATTTAGCTGTGCAAGTAATAGCAGTATTTGTAAGTGGTGTCAAATAAATAATTACTTGAAAAATGGCCAGGCTAGAGGGAATATATTTTTGAGTGCATTCAATCATTACTGTATTTAAAAGTAATGTTCTCTAATTAAAGTTAGCTGCCAATGTGTGAGATTTGTTACCAGAAGTTAAATTCTCAGAGGACTAATTGATGCTTCAGATTTTCAGAGCTCCCTGAGCTGCTCCAAAATTAATAATTAATACTACCTGATTGAAAAGAGTCTTGGATAAACTTGGTCAACAGACTTCAAGTATGTGCATATTGTTTGCTGTTTAATGATGGATTTTGAAGATCCATTACTAAATAACCCTGTGGGGAGGTGAATGTCTGTTATTGTCAGGATATTGATGTATCCCGTGAAAAACACACCTTAAAATATTCTACATATGGGAAGAAATATTGTAAGTTTAAAGTTCTTAATTTTTTTTGTTAGTAACATGTAGGTTTACTGCCCAAGCAGCTTACACCTTAGTAAGGAATGATCTATGCTATACTACTATTTCTTCCTCTTCTCCTTCACAGAAGAGGTGTTACCCTCAGAGGTTTTGCATTGCTGATTGAATCAGCCTCTCGGTGACTGACTCGAAATCCAGTCAACCTTAAAACACTCTCTAGATCTTTCTTCTTGTGTTGGCCCCTAGTCTTTATTTTATTTCATGATTAAATAACTTTTCTCAGTCTGTTTCCCAAAACATAACAAATGAAAAAAGTTGCTTTGCTTGTTTATTCTCCAGCTCCCCTTCTCTTTAGTTTCTTCCTCTTTTATATAAGATTAGCAAAAGTATTCTCTAATTTCTTACTCTGTCCCCTTGAAGTCTGGTGAAGTAAGTCTAGTTAGCCTCTAATGTAACAGTGTCTTGGAAGTGTATGTTTAGATATCGTTCTTGTTTCTTTTGATCAGTTTGTTATTGGACCATTAATGGATGCCCTGTCAGAAAGTTCCCTCTATAGCAGGTAAGCCACCAATTATTATTTTTTAAATGTATTGATTATGAGAAATGTCGTTTAATGATACTGCTTCAAATAGGTGGGTAAAATCTTGGGTAAAGGATGCACATTAATAAATGGTGCTGCTAAAATTGCTGACAGGTAAAGATTTTTTCAGGAAAGGTGGGTGGCCGTGTGTGTGATGAAGTAGGTTCAGTTTTATCTTAGGGCTGCTTCAGGGAGGCAACACAGGGATGCCTCAAGGTCCTATTTTATACCTGGTGTTGAAGTATTTGTAAATTAAGTGGAATATGATTAGTGAAATATTTTTTTTCATATTTTTTTGACACACCAAAAGGACTTTTGTAATTGTTGCCAATTCATAACTGACTGGTATTTTTTCAACAGTGCTTGATTATCTTTTGGGAAATTAATACATTTTCACAGGAGACTATTTGTGGTCAGCAGATGACAGTGGCCTCCCTGATTGTAAATATGTAAAGAACAGATAAAAGTTTGAGGCATTGCAAGCTGTGTGTTAGTGCACTCGTGGCATTCAGTCCTTTGTGCTAGTTGCATGGAGAGTACTGAGAAAGGGGAATAAAGTGCTGAATGCTCTTGATGCACTCAGCATTATGGCAGATGCCTTGGGTGATTCAGCTAGCAATCTGAAACTCGGTTCGGAATGACGTTGAAGGAGTCTTCACAAGCTGACCTTGGCAAGCAGCTAGAGGAGTTGACGCTGTCTCTTAATGCACTTCTGGTGGGGGAAATGTGACTGTTGCTTATTAAACTGGTGGTAAGTTTGGATGGGGTGATTCTGGATAAAGTGTAGTCAAAATAAGTCATCTCATTTAAGCATGACAAATGTAACCTCATTGGGCTTTTGCAGCAGTTCGGTGTTCTTATCTCAGGTGGCTGCAGTAGGCTTTCCATGGGCATACATGGATAGGAAGTGAGGAGTTGAAGCAGGTGCTGAGTGTTTCAGCGTGTACGTTGGAGCTGTGTTGGATCGATGCTTCATCATCTTCTCTTCTAGCTTCTGTATTTCTGGTGAAACTTGTTGGCATATGGAGAGGAGGGTGCATGTTTGGCTATACCAAGAACGTGCAGAGTTATTACAGTTACTGTCAAGCTGTATGAGAGAAAACTGTAAAATCTCATCACTGTCCAGTGCTAATCCTTGATAGGCAGGATCTTGAGATTTCTGTTGCTCTCCTGGAGCATTTCTTGCATCTCTACTTCAGACCTTCTGTGCTTGACAGTGTTTTGTTTATACTGGCTTTATAACCTGTTCCAGGGAGAAATCTTTGCTCCCTGGCACACTGGTGTAAGTAATTTGTCTTCACTGTTCTGCAGATCAGACTAGTCACATCTCCACTGGATACCACTGATCTTGTGCCATAGCCCTTGGCAGCCTGTTCCCAGAGGCCCATGTCACGCTATAGGTGCAGGGTTGAACTGACAGTGCTCTTACTGTGGGCTCAATGTAAGATGCTGTCAGTCCTGAGTAACTTAACGTGAGGCTGCACGTGAATGCCAGTTTGTGCCACCACCATGTCCTTGTAGGTGGCCAGGAAGAGTCCCTGCTGTTATGGCCATCCTCATCTTCTGTGTGTTTGCTGGTTGCTTCTGGAATTATGGGCTAAGTGGAGGATGCAGATGTGCTCCATCTCTGTGGGCTGTTGCAGCAGTCCCTGCAGAGACCTAACCACGGAAGTGCACTTTGTTTTTGTTTAGGGGCAATCCTACATGTTAACATGCCAGTTGTGTATTTGATGTTTTAAAACCCAACAGGATACCAGGCCAGTTAATGGGAGCCTGTCCTCCTTTGGGAATGAGGCTACAGAAGTTTTTGGCCACATATCTCATGCTTCTTCCAGAGAAAGAAAAAGGTATGTTTCAGTTTTGCAGTTATCTTTTTTTAAAATAAAGAAACCAAATAAAACCTGTGGAGCCAATTTCCACATCTTATGTAAGTTTTTACCACTATTTTTTTACATGACTTGAGAGAAAAAAGGAGTAGTTCTCCTTGTGGCAGTAGAGTTGCCAGAGAAGAGAGGTCTTCGGAGGTTTTGAGGGATTCTGCAGTATGAAACTACAAAATTGTTTTATAGACAGACTTAATTTTTTTTATTAAACAAACCAAACACTTAAGTTCTCAAGATCAACAGTATTTACAGATTCTTTTTTCTTTATTTGTAAACATAGATAACACTGTGCTGAGCAAAAATCTTTAGAACTTTTTTGGGGTTTTTTTGTGAGTTTTGGGGTGGTTTCAGCATGTGGGGTTTTTTTGTTTGTTCTGGATTTTTTAACCCATCTTTCACACTTTTTTAGTCACAATCTGTGTAGCTGTGCATTCGAAAGAGCCAGTCCAAGTGCTAAAGCAGAAGCTGAAAAAGGAAAGATTTCTATGATTGTTCCAAATTGTGGTGGTGATGTAGGCCAAAATTTAATATCTGGTCTAATTGGCTTAAATAAGAGTATAATCAACTCTGTTCAGTACGCTGTATCTACAGGTACCTATTCTGGTAGGAAACACTAATTCTGCCATATCTTAGATGCCCTGTTTCTCTGCCCTGCCCAAGGCCTATATTTTGTCACAAAACGGAGAGTCTGTGATTAACAGCCCTGAAAGGGGGTGATCTGCTTCTACAAATTGTAGCTATGATGTCTTTTTGAGTCTTCCTTTGACCATGCCACCATCCATCAAACAGGTTGAATCGCTGTGTATTTTGTTGTGCCATCACAAGGACTGAGTAGCAGCTTAAGAAGGCATTGTCTAGTACTCAAAACAATAGGACTTAAAATTTCATTACTCAATATGGTCATTAGTGCAGGTGACCAAAGCCAAATTATGTTTATTTTTTGTTATCTCCTTATCGTATTGCCTTACTGACAGTCTTACTTGGAATGTACTTTTTAATTGAAATAATTAGGAATTGATTCTGTTGTCTTTAATTTACCTTTTAGAAATCATCATAACCCTCTCCTGCTGGGGTCTGTGTCATTTAAATGCATTGGAGAACAAGAAATCACTCTGGATTGTTTGTTTTCTTTACTTTTAAGGTAGTTTCCTGTTAAAATTTATTCAGAAGATGACAAGTAGGCATTGGTGTGCTGTTCCCATTTTGTTTCTTTCTATGGCTCTGGCCCATATCCCTGCGTGTAAAGTACTGGGCACTGAAGGACTTCATGCTTTAAGGTAAAATGCACATGGCATTGTCTTCTTACAGACTTCCTCTAAAGAAATGTGCTGAACATCTGGAGAGCCAGGATTTAATTCATACTTGTTACTTCTGGGAGGATATGGTGGTTGTATGTGGGAATGGAAGGCTCTGTCTCCTTTATGTCCTGTTCACAGAAGAAAACAATTTAAGAACCAATGCATTTATATCTCTGTCTGACTTAGAAAGTGAGTGTCCTGTGTCATCAACTCTTTTTTGGCATAATTTTTCCCTGGTCTTCTGTACTTCATAACTATTACATACCAAACTTCTTCCTTTTCTTCTAATTACATTACAACCTTATTTAATGACAGTTGAGAGGGACAGTCCACAAAACTGGAAATGGGAAGACTTGTGAGTAAAAGGCCAGCTAAAAGTTCTTGATATGTATAACGTCCTTAATCGCACTTCATGTTTCTTAGGTGTCTTACTTCCACTTTCCAGAGCCACAAAAATCCGTAATTATTCCAGTTTAATCAAATTTGAGCTTTGAAATAAAATCTTACTGGTGGCTAGAGTATTGGATAAAAGTAATTAAAACAATAAATCAAAGACCTCTGATGATAAGAGTCTTGAAGGTTTCCTTCAGTTTTTTGCTAGATTGAGGATTTGATGGCAAACATTTCTATATTTGTTACAGGTAGAAATGCAAATATCTGTTTGAATGGGGGCTATCATGGTGATTGTTACTCTAGTTGGCTTTGTTTGGTCCCCCCCATGCTTTTTATCTTATCAAGTATATGCTTATCCAAGTTTCAGTACCAGTTTTTCAAAGTACATACAGTGGTGGTTTTGCTTCTGGATTGTGTGCTGTCCTATCAGGTACTGATTGCATAACAGTCAATATAATATGCTTGTTAGATAGAATCCAGTAGGCTGAAAATGGTTACTAATTAAAAAATACATGAAAATATTAAAAATTCCTAAGTGTGTTTTGTGGAGCACCCATTTTTCCTCTTTGCAGAGATGTCCTCCAGTGTACTATGATTACACATCAGATTTTGTTGCGTGGGGCTGCTCAGTGCTGTCTTCTTCAAGCAGCTATGCATTTGACAGATGTGGTGAGTTTGATTTTGGTTGAGGGTTTGTTTGTTGTTTTGGCTTGTTTTTTTTAAGCTTTCTCATGTCGTAAAACTATACTAATACTTTTACTGGGTAATCAGTATTCAAAAAATTGCTAACTAAAATATTGAACAACCAATTTTGCTGGACTTGCAGTTTTTAAGTTACTAAATAAACTACTATGTAAGTATCAGTATGCTTTTGTTAACTTCTGGTTTTAAGATGATTTTTTTTTCATTATCTTTTTTTAGTTGATGTTTTCTTGTATGGCTGTCATGCAGTAGTTATGCAATAGTATCCTATTGTGATGTCCACTGTTTAAATTCAGAATCTAAATGGACATTTCTGAAATACCTAAGAGAGCAAAAGTATTCTAAATACCAGAATGCTAAAACCACTATTAATGTTGTAATAGCAAGACCTTAATTATTCAGTAGTCAAAGTATTCATGGTTTTGGCTGTCTTACACCATGCTTGCTTTCTAGATGAGCAGTATTATCTATTGTATATTGTGTTGGAAACTCTTGTATCTTGATCTTGTATCTTCTTCAGGAGAAAGTGTCTCTCGCTGAGCTTTCAAGCTTTCTTCTGTCCCTTAGACCAGAAGAGTCCCTAAGGAGAGATACTATGTTATGGAAGGAGGTGAGGATTGAAGCTGGTTTTATGTTCATCAGACATTTTATAATGCCTATACAAAAGCATGTTTTAGTCTTGCTAACTTAGTATTTAAATAGCTAGTTACTTCTGCATTGGTACATTCTGGGATTTTGGAAGTGGAGTCCTGATGGATTTATGTTGAAAGCTGTGATTTCATTTTTATTTTTTTATTTTTTTTTAATTCTATAAAGGGGTTAATGTTAATCCTAAACAAATAATTCAGCAGGTTCAAAGTGGAAGAATTCTAAATGGTTGAAAGTAAAGTAAGGTGGGCCGGAAGAAAAATAAGACTTGTTTCTTTATGCAGAAATTCTCCGTTTTGCAGATGAAAAAGCTGTAGCTTGAGTCAGAGGTTTTCTGAGCTCCATCAGAGCTTGTATGCCCCAGTTCTTTGTGTTTCCTAGAGTTCATCTCAAAATTGCATCTGTTGGGCATAACCATATTGAAATGCAAATCAGAATCTGATTTTACTCAGACTTTTTAGCCTTGAATATTGGTCTTTTAAGAGACTTCTGACTCTTCATCACAGTCCCAATCTTCTGCCTCCTTTGCCAAGATCATGGGAACTAAAATGGCTTTTGGTAAGCCTGTACTAGTGTCTCATGTCTCCCATCAGGGATCCATTCTCAGTGCTCTAGGTGGTTGGTAACTTTGTGGAGAGTGTGCAAAGCAGGACATGTTACAAAATCCACATGGCCATGACTTGTTACTCTTCTTCTACTTTTAGTAAGTAGCCCAGGTGGATGTAACATCCTCAGCTGAAGCTGCTCTTGCTCTTTGGATTCTATAGACAGTCTTTTGTATATATTATATCTGTTCTCTTTGTAGTTATTTCCTTCTCATTTCCCCTCAACTATCCATTGTAAAACTTCATTTAATGGGAAAGTACACTTTTTTTTTTTAAATTTGCTTTATCCTTAGAGGTATAGTCTGCTTGTAGGGTGCATGGTTACTCTTCTTTTAGTTCTGAAAGTACTGACTGAGATAATGTGGATCCTGAGGCTCTATGAATGGGGCAGTATATGGGCCAAAAAAAACTGAGGAAGGGCTTCTTCTGATTTGCATGTTGTTTGGGTGAACCCAGCACTGGCATGAGTAACAGGGTAATAGCAAAGTGGAAAATGCGCCTACCATGTACAGTGAGATTGTAAATTTTAACTTTCCAGAGGGTGTATTTTATGTCTTTGCAAGATGTAAGATGCCATGAAAAAGCCCCAAAGAAGAAATCATTTTATTTGTAGGGTATACTAGAGCCAGCTGAATACATAGCTGTAACTTTCATTAGTTGTACAGCAATATGATGATAAATGATTTTTTGCATAGTGTCGTTTTGTTATGTGTGCTGCACTTTGCATCCTATTCTGTTCTTCTTTTGGCATAAAAGTTGTGGGTTTTTTAGATAAATACACAGCTCTTACTAGGTGACACTTGGCTGTGGGAAGCCCTTTTGAGATACAGGAATTCTACTGTTCATTATTTGCAAGCATTGTTTTTTTCTTATATTGGTACCAATAATATTTTGTTGGGTATTCTGAATTACTCTGTGGAACAACCTTTTTCATTATTTATTAGAGGGGAATAGTCTGTTAAGCCTCAGGGTAGATACAGTTAATACCTCCTATGGTGTCCCTTTGCTTCTGTGACAGCTTGTATTTAATAGTGCTGTGATGTACTGTTCTGTTGGTAATGTCAGGACAGAGCTGGCAGGTATGGTTAGATAGTAACATTTTAATTTAGCTTTGCAGTTGGTTGCAAGTGAATGACGGGTGCTTCAGAAAGTCGATAACCTCTGATTTTGAACATCAAGAAACATCATCATTATGTCAATACGTACGCAGTCTTGTGGGAGAGTACCTTAAGGCACCAGCATCTGAAAGTAAGTTAAATCTTTATGATGATGAAGATTTTGAAGCTAATTTTTAAAATTAAAAAAATTCTTTGGATTTTAAGAGCTCCTTACTTACATTATACCTATTTGAATTGCACCTAATTTGTGGAATTCATGATTCTTAAGTTTGGACTTTTTATTTTCTAATCCCAGTTTTCCTTCATGAAATACACTTCTGCAGTCTATTGGGAGCTTCTGCATCATATATGCTACTACATAACACATTGCCTAAAATTGATTTCAGCATAGAGGCTAAGCCTCTTTGAGGCATAAAGGAAGAGCTGTTTGTGTTTATATCTAGATAATAGAATTTAAAAAATTTGTAGTAGTATTCTTGTTAGCATTAATTTTTGTAATACTAATTTATTTCAGTAAGTCATAAAACCAAAGGCTGTAAAAGTTAATATGAAGTTATTTTTTTTAACAATATGGAAACCTTAAAATATCTTTAATTAGGAGAAAATTGTTTTATGCCTGACTGGTTTGAAGCTAAGCTTGTCGCAACAATGATTCTATTGGCTGCAGATGTGGAACAGATGAGGAATAAATACAGGTAAGTATGAAATACCTTGTTTTCCATTTCTCTTTTTCAACCCCTCTACTCCTGAAGGTAGAAGCCTTATCATGTTGGGAAGTGGTCCATTTTTCTCTGTGGACTTTTGGTTAGCCTGGCAATTCCTTAGACCTTGTGCAGCCGTTGCTACAAACATACTGGGTAACATTTCTAAAGGTACTGAAGTGACTTGGAGACGTGTTTACTATTTATTTCCATAAGTGACTACAGCACTTGAGGCAGATCCAAAGAAGAAGACTGTCTTTTCAATTTTTGTTTTTGTGTAGTGAAAAAAGCAGCATAGAGCGGATTGAACTAGAGACTTTCTTGAACCCTCTCCTGGATGTCTTGATGAAACTTGGCAGTAATGCTTACATACCAACACTGAAAACAGATAAAAGCCTACAGCTTCTCTTGAAGTTATTGCAGACCCGTTCGTTAAAATGTTCCAATACACAAGATGGTTAGTGATATCTTCAGTATACTGTGTCTTATATTAATTATGGTCTAATAAAATTAAGGTACCTAAAGTTTTAAGGCTATATTGTCAAACTATTACTAGCCTAGACATCGTAAATGGTAAAATTCACTATCTGGCATATCTGTTACAAAATTGAGCCATGGGTCCAGTCTTACAGGGGCTTTCCTCAAGGAATCCTGAGGACTGGGAACGGAGAGTGTGGAAGATCTCTGAGAAAACGATTGCTACCCATCAGGATTGGCTTAGCAGTTGGCTAAAGTTTGCAGAGTGTCTATTACAAATATTTATAGGCCTGTTCTTTGCCAATATATGTATTCTGTGAATTGTTTAGATACTTCAAAAAGAAGTTTGTACAGAAAGCCAACCTAACCTGCTTAGTTACCCCAGCATCAGCCAGAGCCTTCCCAAAGTACATCAAGTGATCCTGCTATAGATACACTGTTTTCTGAGTTGGTTGGTAGATACTTTTGTTTCAACTAACGCTGTTTAGACTGCTAAATACAGAATACCTCAGATTATTTCACACTATTTGGCTTTATTTCAGTAGGCATGCTTAACTGACTTACTTCAATTTGCCCTTAGTTAAAACACAGGCAGAGAAGAAGTGCCCACTTAAGCACAAACCTGATGGTCTGACTGTCTGGGAGTTGTGGTCCCCCCCCAGATTCAGCATTTTAACTTTTAGACCTTTCAGGAGAGTCTGAACAAAATCTTTGGAGTCCTTACTACCTTTATTAGAACTTTGTCGTTTTGTAACCAGAATAGATGAATAATGTTTTGATATTTCATTTATTTATTTATTTTCTGAGAGCAAGTGAAAAATTGCATTATTTTTGTGAATTAGGATGCTGAACTGGAACAAGAGGGACCTTGGCATCTGGTTTCTGCTTTCTAGCTTTTTTTGAGATTTTTTTCAGTATTTTTGTAACAGAAAATAATAGAGTAGTTTTGGACCAGGAGCCACAGCACTATGCTCTTACATAAAAAACCTTATTTCAGGTTCTGCATCCAGGTTTCATAAAGGTGCTTAAATGTAGTCTTGAGGTAAATGTGCTTTATATAGTCACCCCTGTCTTGAATTTTAGCTGCTTGACTGAAATACTGAACATTGTTAAAATTCACATTGTGGAGTCTCTGTCTGCTGGAGTGGATTTTTTCAGGTGAAATTAAATAGGAAGGTGCTGCCAGTGTGCATTCAGTCCACAGCACAATGGTAGAGCAAAGCCTGATGCAGAACCCTCCAAAACTCATGCAAGCGCATGTTAGGTTTTTGGTATAACGTGTAAATTATTCCATTATGTGGCACTCTGCTTGCCAATGTAGATCTATAATCGATTGCTCCTGCATTGGGAATTCGGATACCTGAATTAACATGTGAAGTTCCACTGTCAGAGTTCTGGAGGCATGGCAGGGCTGAGCATCACAGGGTCTCTGTCCTTCTGAACACCCCTGTAGGTGCTCCAGAACAGCTCAGCAGCAGCAGAGTCTTCCAGGAGGCTTTCAGAATTGGACTTGTAAGATTGTCTTTTTCTGTGAAGCAAGGATTACTTATTATTTCCTACAGTGTTTTTGTGCTCCATCCTCCTGCATGAGGGAGCCAAGTAATAAATCTTGTTTCCACAGCTGTGAATTGGCTGTGCTGAGCAAAGGGAAGAGTAATGTTAGAAAATACAGGGGTTTTGTTTCTGTGTTGACTGAACAGGAGGTGAAAAGTCCTGTCTGTCAAATGGAAAATGGTAAAATGGTAGGAAAGAAGAAAGGAATGTAAATCTTGCAAAACAAAAATTATAACAATTGGGAAGAATTTTATTTAAGAATCCTTTAATGGAGATAGAAATGTCTGCAATGCATGATGAAAGCTGCAGCATTTTTCTACAGATTCTACTGTCTGTATTGTTGTTAGACTTAAATATTTTAAACAGGAAGTTTTTGCCAGTTATTTTTTCAATAGTGTTACACTGGCCTGGGCAATGAATTGGATTGTACTGTTGTAAAGAATTTCTAAATAGGTGTTTTAGTGTTTTGAGACTTATGATGAAATGTGGGAATAATCTGACAAAGTTAAACTGTTCTAAACAAATTAAGGATTAGAAATGCAGTCCAATAAGCCATTTTAATAGAGAACATTGAAAGTAAGTGCAACATAGGTTTGAAATGTCTGAAAATTGTATCCCTTTTTATATCTCTACCTTTTAAAGGTCTGCCATTTCATAATTGTTTAGCTGTATGAAATGTGACTCAGGATCAACTTCAGAAAAAACCCCAGCAGATATAACCTCTGGGTAGTGCTTCTAGATATGGCAACTAATGACTGATATTTTTAGAACAAGATGGTCATGCCGGGTGTTTTAATTCAATTTTAATATTGATATGTTATGTCTTTGGCTTTCTGCTACCCCTTACCCTTGAAGCACAGACTGAAGTGTGCCTGTGGTTAAATGTTTCACCAGTGATTGAATTCCTCTGTGTAATAAACTCGTGTCTTTTAGTTTGTGGCATGCTAATACTATCCTTGGTAGCCTAGCCTTTTCATAGAGAAAGTATCACATTTTGTGGTACAATCTTGCATTTTCATTTACAATGTTAAGCCAGGAAGCCACTAAACTGAAATCTTGTAAGATTACAAATACCTGAGCTTTGGATAATATAGACGAAACAGAAAAAAACCCCACAACAAACACCCAACCAAAAAAAGTTTTTACTTCTGTATATATTAGAAATAAATAACTCCCTTTTAATCACAGACAATAATTGCTGGGTATGGGAACTGTCTTTATTAAATAGTAAGCTCATTAATAAGCTGTCTTTGCAGACGGTTGGGAATAACACAAAAGTGTACATTAAAAGTTGGAAAATTATGCTTTGGATTTCTGATTTTATGTGGGTTTTGGCTTATAATTTATGATAGAGCTCAGGAAATAATATCATCTAGTTTGATTTTTTCAGCCCTATGGCTTATATTGCTGAAGAATAGAGACCTGTTTTAAGGTAGTCTTAAGTATTTGAATATTTATTGCTGGATGACTGTAACTTTATTATATTTGCATCATATACATTTCTTAAGGAAAGTGTATTTCTGCATGTTAATACTTTTTCTCTGTTTCACACAGATGGGGTATTGTTTTTTATTTGGAAATCTCTAACAACACCTGTGGAGAGTATTCTTGAATTTATTCTCCGACGGCTCACTGCAAATGAGTTAAGCACTGTAAGTAATGAGTATGAGACATGCTTTGGGGTTTTCCACGTTAATTTGATTTACCGGTATTCCTAGCTGTTATATAAAATCTTTTTAAACACCTAGAAAATTAATTTGCATAGAAAAGCTTCTGTTAACTTTTTTGGATGCGCACAGTAAGAATACAGGAAAAAAAGTGTCTTGACAAGTAGCGTGTAGTGTCTCCAGTCCATACTCCTTGTTTCTTTTCAAATCTAATGAAATTGTGTAGTAAGAAATCATGACTATTGTATCATATACTGTATAGTATCTACTACTACAGTTGTCTACATACCATGTTTGGTGACTTTCAGTACTGAGCACTAAACCTGCTTAGCATCTTTATTGACTGCGCTGTTTGTTCTTTGTTGTAGCCAGTGTTTAAGTTTAGACCCCAGAGAAACTTGTGTCTTTTGAAGCAAAATGATGATGTTAGAGGAGTTTGACCATGTTGAATGTTATCAGAGAACTGCACTGCTTTTTGGAAGCGAGGAGGTTCAACTTTCCCTGTGTAAAGAGAAGTAAATAAAAAACATTTATTGACATTTCCAGATGGAGAAAGAGGAATTAGAATGTAATGTTGATGAGGATAATTTTTTTTTTTAAGGAAACAGATTTGACAGAGGGATTAGTGAAAGTTCAAAAGGAGGCTAATTCTCAAAACACAAAGTAGGAACTTTGAAAGCAAAGTAAAAATAGATGAGGGATTTCAAGAAGAGGATATTGAGTAAGATAAAGTAAAAAGTTGTAAAATCACTGCAGTTCTCATAATTGTGAGCTTTAATTGTGTCGTCTTAAATTTATATATAAAAGGCAGAAAACAAAAAATAGATATTTTAAAAGAATACTTCAGTTTAAACATTGCTAATTTAATGAGAACTGTATTTGGATAGACTGTTGGGAAGAAGAGACAAGACCAGACGGATTTGAAAGGAAGAGGCAACTGTAGTGAGGGCATAAACAAAATGTGAAGTGACATTTTTGGAATTATTTAGAGAACAGTGAGTAGGCTTCATGGCGAAAATTATATGGACAGGTGTGCATTCCTG